CCCTAAACCCTAAACCCTATGTATCTATGGGGCGAGGTTGGGGAACTCAGGCTTCAGGGCCTCAATCGTCTTGTTCAGCTTGTGAAACGATAGCCGACGCAATGTAGGGGCCTTAATAGTTACCTCTACTATTTTGGGGGTTTCCTTGCTATAATTTTAGTATAATTTGCCCCTGGTTATAATTCTAGTATAATTTGCACTAAAACCAAAAACCCATTCTAATTATTAAGGCCCCTACATCAGTCGGATGCTGACCCTACAGACCCCCCCCCCCCTCCTTGGAATCCCTCAGAAGTGTCCAGGTTGAAGAGCATGCATACGACCTCATCAACTGTTGGTGCTGCGGCATTTCTGCAACCCCCTGCCTCGATCCGTGTTGCTTCTGGGCCGACTTTGGCTTTACAGGTAGCACGAGGGTCTAAATGATTACGAATAATATTTGCAACCTTGTAGTCACAGTTCCTGTTTCTTTTGTTCTAGTCTGTTATACCCTGAGTTCTTATCCTGATTATGAAGGGTCCTAGAGGGCGCGATTGGGGAAGATCAGCTTTCCACCCCAATTGAGTGTGCCTTTGTGTAAGGGATGCTGATTCTTAGGCTCGTGTGTTTAAGGATGTCTTAGTCTGCAATAGCCACAAAGACAATAACTGTCTGGTGCTTAGTAGGGAATGGGGGAATGGATCCCTATGATAGTCCCTTAAGGTCCCTTACAGTAGCTCCTATAACCCATTCCCCCATTCCCTACTAAGCACCAGACAGATAAGGCCTCACCAAAGACAAATGCTGCTGCTGCACCCACGGCTGCACAAGCGGACAAGACTGCAACGGGGAGAAAGGCTGGCTCTTCTCAACCGATAAGTGCTGCTGCTGGATGCCTGTCTGCATGGGGATCTCGGGAGCCCCCCCAAACATCTCAAATATATATACATATGTATATATATATATATAACTATGTGTGTGTGTATATATATATATATATGTACATACACGTATATATATATATATACACACACACATATATATATATATATGGTAACCCCTCCCCCCATACATAGGGAGAGATGGAGAGAGCAAGGGAGGTAAATGATTTAAGGAGTATCTCTTAACATTCGTTTTTTTTGGGGAGTTTGTGGGTCCCTGCTACTTTTTCGGCTTCTGCGGTTTTGGCTTTTATGTTCTGGACGAATGTACCTATGAACGCACGATCTTATGGGGCATGCTTTCTAGTCGTCTTCACCCAGCGTGATTGCTCAGAGCAAAACTGCTCAGCTTTTCAGAGTCATCCTTTGCTGGTTCAGCGGACTCTGGCTGGGCAGCTGTCCGCATGTCAACGGCATCGGAGCAGCTCACAGATGCTGTGTGCCTCTTGAAACGCAGCCCTTTTCTCCAAAGACACTGCAAGATGTTAGTCTATCATTGTCCCAGCGAGAAGCAGCGGTAGATCCAGGCAAGCCAGGTATGCCTTCGGTGCAGTCGGGATACGTCACCTTGGCTCACCCTGTTTCCTCAATCCTGGTTTTCCGCAAACCGAAGGATTTCTCCCCTTCCGAGCCCGGGCTTCAGTTTTTGTGGCAGGGCTTCTTCTGCTCAGAAGCATGGGGACTACCGGTAAGCGACGCATGGAGTGGATGTGTAGATGCAGTCGTAGACCAACCTATAGCCCTTGGTAGTCCTGTCTCCCCTGCACTCGGAATCGTGTCTTTTTATGTTGGGAGCACGGTATCCGACAACTCCGATGATCAAGGATCAGCCATTTCTCCCTGCACAAGATGGGCTGTGCACTTTGCAACGTGCATTGCTGGGGCGAGCCCTATCCGGGAAATGATGACCCAGACATGAACTTCCTGCGCCATGGCAGCCTTCAATTCTCCTCTTGCTCCTGAACCTTGTTTCCAACCTCTACACACCTCCAGAACCCCTCAATGGCCCTTTAATAGAGCCCTTATGGTCCTTAATAATGGGTATTCGGGGTATACTTAGAGGGTAGTTAGGGGGTCTAGGCTGGCCTAAAGCCTTCGAGACTAACTCAGGAACCTAAAACAGTCTTTCAGGTCCTAGCCTAAACCCTAAACCCTAACCCCTAAACCCTAAACCCTAAACCCTAAACCCTAAACCCTAAACCCTAAACCCTAAACCCTACGCCCCAAGGCCGAAGCCCACCGCAATCTCTCGGAAAGGCCCTAAACCCTAAACCCCTGAACCCCAGACCCCTAAACCCTAAAACCCCTAGACCCCTAAACCCTCAAACCCCTAAACCCTAAACCCTAAACCCTAAACCCTAAACCCTAAAACCCCTAAACCCTAGATCCCCTAAAAGGCCTCCTCTCTGCTGGTGTTTCCACTGCTGCTGCTTCGCCCAAGCCCTCGGGAGCTTCTTCCCGGCGTGCTACCAGGACTGGGGTGTAGGGTTTTGGGCTTTGGGGTTCAGGGTTTAGGGTTTAGGGTTTAGACTTTAGGGTTTAGGGCTTAGGGTTTAGACTTTGGGGTTTAGGGTTCAGGGTTTAGAGTTCAGGGTTTAGGGTTTAGGGTTTGACGAGGATTTCGTAGCAAACCCTCAGCCCTGAAACCTAAACCTTAAACCTTATAACCTAAACCAAAAGCCACTGGCTTGAAACCTAGGGTTTTGCCAGGCTTTCGTAGTGGGGTGTTTAAACGCTTTGTAGTACTACAACATACCCAGCGGGCCCAAGGGGTCAATTTCTTCTGAACCGATATGGTTCTAGTTCTGATAGTTTCAGGTTGTGTATCGTTGAGTATTGGGGGCATTCATCACCCTCTAAGCATTCATACGCCCCTGGTAAACCCTCGTAACACCTCCGAGGATAACACCAAACTCCTGTAACACCTCGCTAAACCCTAAACCCCAAACCCTTAGAGCCTAAACCCTAAACCCTAAACCCTAAACCCCCTAAACGAGGATAACAAGCTCTGTATCTGGGAGGGCAAAACCACGACCGGGTCCAACTGTTGGTCAGACGAGGGCTTCTGCCACAGCCATGCCAAGGCCAGGGCTTTCTGTTTGCTTCTTTTTCCTGGGTGCGTTCAAAGGGCGTCCTTTTTTTACGTGTTTGGTTGATTTGGGTCGATTTGGGGCTTAATTCGAAGGCATTTCTATGAAGGCTGCTTGTGCTCGGGGTCTTGTGGGATTTGTGCATGCTTTCTATGGTTTTGTGGGGCTTCAGGGTGCCGCCAAAGACCGAGCTGAGCCAAGCCGCTCAAATCTTAAACGGTAAGGCCCTCAACCTGGAAGCTCTCCGAAAGGTCTGCTGCTGCCCGCTGCTGCTCCGGTGCGAGCTCCCTCCAAACGAGCGTATCGGCTGTGGCTTTTGCATGGGCTCGGGCTGGCATTCCGATTCCGAGGCGGGGATAGATACCATGCGGGCCTAAACAATTGCCAATACTATTTTGGGGGTTCCGCATGAATCAGTATAGTATTACATGCACCCACACCCGATTCTAATCATTAAGGCCCCTACATTACCTAGTAAAAAGTTAGCCTTTTTGATTGAGGGTTTAGTCAACGCCTCGTACTCCAACCCTAAACCCTAAACCCTAAACCTAAACCCTAAACCCTAAAGCGGGCACGAAGGTGGAGGAAGAGACGGAGAGGCTCCTGAAGAAAGCCGGACACCCTGAGCAGCAGGAAATGCGCCACCTCCAACACTAATGTAATTAGAATAGGGTTTTGGGGCATATTATACTAAGAATAGGGTTTTGGGGTATGTTATACTAAGAATAGGGTTTTGGGGTATATTATACTATAGTTATATCAAGGAACCCCCAACTTAGCGCTGGTAATCATTTTGGCCCCCAGATTAGAAGGCTTGTGGAGCCCAGGCACAGCAAAATGCTGTGTTGTCCATGCAGTCAGGGAGCACAACGAGGCTCCTTGTGCATCTTGTGCTGCACCGTGTATGCAGCCCTGCACCCACGTCCTGGGCTGAACAGACCCGAGAATTGGACATGCTTTCGTTTGTGAGCCAGCACTGTGCCAGTTGCACGCACATGTGCAATGAGATGCTGCTGGATGAAAAGCTACTGCAGTTCCAACTGCGAGAAGCGCGCTCCCAAGACGCTCTTTCTGCACATGGGCCGGCGAGAGCGGGGGGGGGGGCAGGCATGAACGACGGTGCTACACCGAGTATGCTGCAAAGGCAATCATAGATTAGATAGTGTGCAGCACGGCACTAGTGCATGTCGCTGCTTGTCTCATATGACAAGATTGCAGTCACCGCGCAACAAAGCCGAGTCCCGCAACTTCGAAGAACTCGGCTGGACACATTGCCTAAACCCTAGCTCTAATGAGAATCTTGAGAAGACAGTACCGATCCCTAAGCCCGAAACCCCAAACCCCA